CCAGTGCCCGCTCCCCACAGCGCCCCCTGCTGGGGGAGACCAGGACTAGAGTAGCTGCCTCTTGGCTGTCTGAAGAACAGTGGGTGTTTGTAACTCACCAGGATGGCCAGCAGGATGGGGCAGCGGATAATCCACCAATAGGCCATGTTATCATTTCTCTCCCAGCACCTGAAAAACCAACTCACGTCAAACTGGCTGGGAGGGAGGAACCTGCACAGCCGGGAGGGGTGGTGACAGGAGTTGGCAGCCTCCCAGGTGGCACCAGCCTTCTCTCTCCCCCCGTGAGCACAGTTCTGTCTGTGACCCAGATCAGCCGAGGGCTGGCCTTTGCTCCCCACCAGGGCCATCAGATCATCCGGCTTGAGCTCCTGTGAGCACCCGCCACTAAACCCCACCCAGCCGCCTCCACCCCAAGCCTGGCAACCTCCGTTAGATCAAAGTATTACAGCCCCCAGGAGACTAAACGCTCATGGGCTACAGGCAGAGAACACCAGGGACCGATGGGCACTGGGGCCCGGCCAATGGCAGGGGATTGATTGGGCGATCCATGCCCCATACTGCAAAGGAAGGGGAAAAAGTCCCCCAAGGCCACAGCCAGTCTGACCTGGGGGTAAATTCCTTCCGCACCCCAAAGCCGACCCTGAGCATGGGATCAAGGACCAGCCAGCCAAGCACCGGAGAGAGAATTCTCGGGGTCGCCCTGGCCCACCCAGTCCAGGCTCCCATCTCCAGCTGTGTACATGATGCTTCAGAGGAAGGAGATTAAAAAACCCCAAACCCAGAATACATCGGGGCGGGGGGGGGATCCCTTCCTAACCTCTACAGGTGGCTGAAGCCAGTGGTTCTCAAGCAGGGGGTCCGCCAAGCATGGTTGGCATTAGACTCATCAAAGTCCCACTACGCATGACTGCATGGAATATTGCAGGGCCCCGAGCCCTGCCATCCGGGGCTGAAGTTGAAGCCTCAGCAACTTAGCTTTGTGGCATAGGCGCTGACTCCGTGGGTGCTCTGGGGCTGGAGCACCCACGGGGAAAAATTAGTGGGTGCTCTGCACCCACCGGCAGCCAAGCTCCCCTCCTCCCCTGCTCCACCTCCTCCTCCCCCTCTCCTGAGCGCGCCGCGTCCCCGCGCCTCCGCCTACCTACCAGCGCTTCCTGCCCGGCCGCTGCCAAACAGCTGTTTGGCAGCGTTAGCATGCTCCGGAAGGGAGGGGGTGGAGCGGGAACATGGCGTGCTCAGGGGAGGAAGCGGGGAAGAGGCGGGTCCGGGGCGGGGATTTGGGGAAGGAGTTGGAATAGAGACAGGGAGGGGGCGGAGTTGGGGCAGGGACTTTGGGGATGGGATTGGAATGGGGGCGGGGAAGGGGTGGGAAGAGGTGGGGCAGGGGCGGAGCCTCATGGAAGGGGTGGAGTGGGGGCAGAAAAACAGTTGTTGTGGCACAGGTGGGCCGTGGAGTTTTTATAGCAGAAAGAAAAAGGTTGAGAACCTCTGGCTGGAGCACATAAGAGCGTCGCTCTGGCTAGCAGAATTAGCCCGTTAGCTGATACACCAGAGATGGATGGGTCAAGTCCTACAAGCGACGCTCATGCGTGGGTCTGGGGTCGCAAAGTGCTGTGAATGCAGCGAGCTCACACGCCCCCGTTTACATGGGTGTGGAACAGGGATGGGGAAAACGGCGTCTGTCTCGGGCTGGAGCCGCTCGGGACGTTTGATTCGACATGGTTTTTTTGGACAAGAAGTGACTTTTTCATCAAAATGGAAAGGTTCGTTTTTAGCCAATTTCCCCCCTCGTGTTTTTGGCAACTGAAGGCTGAGAAATGTTGGCTGAAATCCTAAAATCGTTTATTTTTTAAACCTCAGGGTTTGGATTTTCGACGAAAACCTGGACGTTTTTGAAGAAAACAAAACGGATTTTTAAATGTTTCCCCTCAAAATGTTTCCTGGCACCAAACCCCTCGTTTCCCGCCCTGCTCCCTGGAGACCCGCTGACAAGGCCACCCCATGTTCGAGGATTTCCAAGCACTTTCTTTCTGTACCGGACCCTGAACCGGAGAGATTTCGCTGGCCGGACTTACTGATTGTTTTCATAGAGGTATCTGATGATCACCCAGGGAATGACAAACAGGATGGGGGCTCCTAGATGGACAGACAGACGCAGCAGTTAGGGTTTTGTTCTCCAGCCCCACCCGTGAGATTCCCCCCTGTGTACAGCGTCATACACTCTAGCATTTTCCCTCTCCTCTCTGGTGGGTGCATCTCTGCCACTAGTGGGAGTGCTAGTGGTAGTGGAGACAGGACTCCGGCGCGTTACCCACCGGGATGCCTAGACCTGCTGTGAAACACTGCAGGAGTTGTGGGTGGAGCCCCGCACTGCCCTTCGCGGCAGAGCAGGGCCAGGCTGGGGCAAGCACCTAGAGAGGATTCTTTCGGGGGGCTGCTGGATGCAGACGTACGCTGGGGTCCGTTCCAGCTCCCAGTCTGCATTGCCTAGGGTCACCAAAGGGGGTCTCCCTATGCCCCGGTGAGCATTGCAGTACCTCCATCATGCCCCCTCCCGGCCATGCCTGCGCGGCCCCACTCACCCCATCCGACAAGCAGGTAGCCCACAAAACAGCTCTCCTCCGAGATGGCCATCAGCACAAGCAGGTTGTGCAGGTAGAGCCCTTCCACCAGCAGCCAGTAGTAGTTGGCGCCGACGCAGTACTGGGTCAGGACCTGAGCCAGGCGGCAGCCGGCGGCAGCCTGAGCCCCCGGGGAAGGGGGGGAGAGGAGCAGAGAGAGGTGGGAATGCTGCAGGGTGGCGGATGGAGGAGCCCCATCAGGTCACGGCCAGCCCATCCCCGCTTGGGGCAGGGGCGTCCCCTACAGTCGGTCCCCCCATGGCTTGGCCCAGATTCCCATGGGGATGCTCCCAGCCCTTCCCCTGGGGAGGCAACTCCCCCACCCCACGGATCTTCGAGTCAGGAAGCTTTGCCCGGAATCCAGCCTCAGTTTCCCTACACTGCCTTTCGTCCCATTGCTCTGAGTAATTCCCCTTCCTCTGCGGTGGGGACACCCTACGGATACGCAGGTGGATCCCTCCCACCCCCGGATTACCTCGCTGATCCCACGCCTAACCCTGCTGCCCACGGTGCCAATTGAGAGTGGGTCAGCCTGGGGCCAGGTCCGGAGCTGGTGTAAACGGGCCAGAGCACCACTGGTGCTGGATCACAGCGGACACGGCTCCATGGATTTCAGTGCTGATTTAAGCCAGCTGGGGTCTGGCCCATACTGCCTAGCTGCTGACCTTGGGGGTCCCCGGGCTTTCACCCCCGATGTACGGGGTGCTCCCTGCAGTGCAGGGATTCCCCCCCCCTCCCCGGGGTCAGAAAGGGGCCCAGCTGGCTGGATCTGCTCCCCCCGCCCCCTCTGGGAGTGACGCCCAGAGCCGGGCAGTACCTGGTCCCCGAGGAGATGGAAGAAGTCCCCCTCGTGCCGCAGGTCCTTGGAGAAGCGCACGCGGAGGAGGGCGTCCCGGGTGAGGATGGAGATGGCCCGCAGCATGAACGAGAGGAAGAGGTTCACGTGGATGTAGTTACGGGTGCACCTCAACTTCCTGCAGAGGGGGTGGGACCATCAGTCGGGGGGATGGGAGGGCAGCCGTACTCCAGCATTGACACTAATCAGCTGTGGTCCTCTACACCGAGCACCTGCGAGCGTCACCGGGCGCTGACCCAGTGCCGGGCCCTTGACGCCGAGAGTCACGCTGAGCCAGCGGGTGAAGACAGCTGGGCTGTACAGCGCCGGGCTCTGGGCTGGGGCCCTGGGCGCGACACTGACTAACCAGGAGTGAAACTGACCAACGCCAGAAACGGACAGCGTAACTAAAAATCCAGAGGAGCTGTCCAGGCCTGATCCCAGTCTCGCTTACTCTGGTTTTACACCGGGTAACTCTGCAGGCCCGGCTCCATGTGCCCCATCCACACGGAGCAAACCAAGAGCAGAGGGAGAGTCAAACAGGAGTGACTCCTGCAGTAAAGGGAGTGTCAAACTGGGGAGCGGCACGGCACCCCATCGGGCCCAAATCCAGGATCAAGCCCTTAATTACTAAAGGAAACTTGCTTTTTTAAGAGGGAGATGGTACAGATAAAACCCACGGGTCTGAACCCTGCCTTGCGACCTGGGTGCAAATCCCGAGTGACCTCAGTGCATGCCATCTGCACTGACATCAGGATCTGGACCATTAACTCCATCATGCCCACGGGCTCTGCAGTACCTGAAAGCCAGGAGCAGCAGCAGGGCGAGCAGCAGGGAGACCAGCGAGAGGGAGTAGCCCACGGTGTACATCAGCCGGAACTGCTCCAGGAACCGCATCTGCTTCTGCAAAGGGACGCAGCGGAGGGTCAGGTCCGGGCTCCTTGCCCCTTCCTTCGCCCCCTCCCTCCGCCCCACCCCTGCCACTCGGAGCATTTACAGGGGAGGGCGCCCCCTGCTAGGACCATCAGGGACTGGCACGGGCATTGATCTGCAAATAGAGCGGGGACCCGGCTGCTGGATCCTTCCCGGGCAGCGCCGCATCCAGCCAACAGATCCCTCCAGCGCTGGAGAGGGAGGGGCTGCCAGAGCTCAGAGGGAGCCGGAGGCTGGGTGGGAGCAGCCGGAGAGAAAGCCGCGTAGCTTAGGAGCTGGGAGCCAGGCTGGGAAGCAGCCTGTGGACTGGCCGGCAGGGGCACTGACCTGGAAGGGGTGGTCTGTGCTGAGATCCTCGCACTGCGAGTGGTCCCTCCAGGGCAGCCCCGACTCGTCCGTCACCCACTGGCCAGCCGGGCCGCAGAGCCGCATCACGAACCCGCCACGAACTGCCGGGGAGGAGACCAGAGGGAGCCAAGTGGCAGGCGGGGGGGGAGGGGGGGTCAGCCACAGCCACACCGCCACTGCCCACAGATGTCCCCGCCCTGCCCTTAAAGTGACACCCCCCCCCCGCGGCCTCAGTCATGGTGGTGTGGGGACGCGAGGGTTAACATCACCGTACTCTGCGTGGGCCTGAGCTCGGAGCTGACACCCGCAGGCCTGGTCCTCTGCAGAGCAGCCCCAGGCCCCTACTCTGCATTCCAGCAAGATCAGAATCGGGCCCTGTAGCTCAGGGACAGCTTTCACCCAGGGAGCGGGTCCCAGCAGGCGGGCCGAGGGGGCAGGCATGGGAAGGGGGTGTGGCTGGAACGAGCCTCGGAGGAAGGGATATTTACCGTGGTGATGCCAGGGCAGGTACCACGGGCAGGGCACCATGGCGGTGGTGTTGGGCAGAGTGTCCCCCCAGCAGGCGTACATATCAAAAGTCCGGTTACACATCAGGCCTGGGAGGGGTGAAGATAAGAGGCTGTTTAAAACACTCGCACGTCACAGAGACGGGCAAACGCCGGTCACGCAGGCCTGGGCGGCCGCACGCATCCATGTGCAAATCACATTCACACGTGTGTGACCCATGCACAGTAAGCAGGCCTAAGCGTCCACAGACATGGGCAAGTCACGTGCATGTGTGTAAACCACACACACAAACTCACCTACACAAACGTGCAAATTACGTGCACATGTGCAACTCACACACACAAACTTGCCTCTGCAAACACAGACACGTGCAAATCACACACGGGTGCAAACCACACACACACAAACTCACCTCTGCAAACACAGACACATGCAAATCACGCGCACATGTGTGCAAACCACACACACACAAACTCACCTCTGCAAACGCAGACACATGCAAATCACATGCACATGTGTAACTCACACACACAAACTCATCTCTGTAAACACAGACACGTGCAAATCACACGCACATGTGCAAACCACACACACACAAACTCACCTCTGTAAATACAGACATGTGAAAATCACACGCACTTGTGCAAACCACACACACACACAAACTTGCCTCTGCAAACACAGACACACACGCAAATCACACACACGCATAGAAATGTGCCTGCACAACCACCCCCATCCAGGCAGCTCCCCCATGCACATGCCAACCACATGCACGCACACGCAAAAGAGGGCACACACAGACACCACGCTCAGGCATGCACATGGGCCACACTAACACGCTACCCCATGCAAGAACACACAACATGGGTTCGCAAACATGGCCACATGTGCCGAGAGGAGGGGCTGGGATGCACGAGTGGGTGCCGGGTGCACTCATGAGACCCTCTGGCCCCACCCCAACCCCGGCCCAGAAGGGACAACCCGCTCCCCTCACCTGCGGGATATGGCTCCTCGGCCATGCTGCGCTCACACTCCTGCTGGTACTGCCTCCAGGCCGCAAACATGTCCTTGGCTGACTTCTCCGAGGAGCTCGCCTGCAACGGGATGGGAGTCGGGGCAAAGGGCTCGGGGTGCAGCCATGTCCCTGTCCCCCTGAATAGACTGCAGCCCCAGGGCTCACATGGAGGAAAATACAACTTCCTGGATACTCCAGTCCCAGCCTCTCCCAGCAGGGGGCGCTGTGGGGAGCAGGGCAGGAGTGCTGGCTGTGGGGGAGCTCCCAGCTACTCCAGTCCCAGCCTCTCCCAGCAGGGGGCGCTGTGGGGAGTGGGACAGGAGCGCTGGGTGTGCAGGGAGCTCCCAGCTACTCCAGCCCTGGTCTCGCCCAGCAGGGGGCGCTGTGGGGAGCGGGACAGGAGCTGGCTGTGGAGGGAGCTCCCGGCCTCTCCCAGCAGGGGGCGCTGTGGGGAGCAGGGCAGGAGCGCTGGCTGCGGTGCATTTGCTGCAGGGGATGGTATTGCACCGAGATGGAACAACAGGGGTCTGAGGTGCTGCCTGGGGGGGGCACTGAGCTGAGTGCCAGCCGTGGTGGGGGGGGGCGCGCCCTGGGGTGCAGTCTCACCTCCGCTGTTCCCTGGAGCGACACAAGCAGCAGGCAGAGAGTAAAAGGCTCCCACATGCTTCAGCTGCAGTGCAGACATGAGGCCAGCTAGCGGGGTCCGGCTCAGGGGTCCTGCAGGCGCCGGCGGTTGTCTCGGTCCCTCTCCAGCAGAGCTGGGGTGCACCCGGGGAGAGGCGCCCTAGGGGGAAGCAACCCGGATGGATTGGCAATGGGGCTCCCTGCTGGTCTCAACGGCAGAGCAGAGGCCCAGGGCACCTGCCTCCCTCTCCAACAGATCCCCCATCGGCAAAGCCATGCGCTGATGCCATGGGGATGGGCACAGATAGACCCCACCCTCAAGCAGGGCTCCGACCCCCTCTGCTTCCCCCCACCCTCCTGAGCAGGACCTGGTTCCCGTGAGAACCCTCAGGCAGCAGCAGCTGGTGGGAAGGGGCTATTTATAGGGCACATTAGACGTGTCGTCCTGCTGCGATCCAGGGCCCTGCTCCGAGGGAGCCGGGTTCGGGGGGGTGGGAAGTTCAGCGGGGAGCCTGGGATAAATACAGCGCCTGAGACCTGACAGTGGGGGGAAGCCCCTCGGAGGGAGGGAGATCGGGGGGGGGGGGAAGTGTCTCCGATACACAGCCCGCAGACAGGCCTGGGGGCAGGGGAGCAGGCCGCTTCTACGGGGGACAACCATAAGGGGTTTTCCCCTAGAAGGATCCCAAACTGTCTATAGGGGTTTCGGGGACCATCCCGAAATTAGGGGCTTTGTCTTATATTGGCAACTATACCCCCCCCCCCAAAAAAGTGTCCCGATTTTTCACACTTGCTATCTGGTCCCCCTAATAAGGTTCCTGAGATGCAGCCACCTCTGGGGTGGGGCACAGGAGCTGCTCAACTGCTGTCCTGCAGCCCAGCTGAGGACAGGATGTGAAGACTGCAGGAGGCAGGAATTTTGTGCCCGCCCACTCCTCGCCCTTCTAGGAACAGCCGCGGGGAAACTCACATCCATTGGGCGGTGTTGATGGGCCGTTGACCCCCAGCGCTACTCCGCTGCCCCAACAAGAGACCAGAGGCTCTCTGCCTCGGAGTGGCTGGCGTTGACATAACCATGGTTACCACAGCACCACAGAGCGGAAAGCCGCTCTCTCCCCCAAGCGGGCACTGTCAGGGGGAAAGGCCCTGCTGAGCCCAGCCCCCTGGGGGGGGGACGCAGGCCTAAAGAAAGAGCCGGCCCCAGCCTGGCGTCGCTGTCCCCCACCAACCCTTCCTTTGCCCCCCCGTCGCATGGGCCAGAATCTCCCTCAGCTCCCAGGCCGATGAGCCCATCCCCGTCCTGAGTTCGCCAGACCTCAGCTTCCCCATGCAAACCCTTCCCTGGCTTCTTCACACCTGGCTTCTTCGCACTCCCTGTTGTTAGCCTGAGGGGGCTGGCCTGGGGGACATCTCCTTCTAGGCCACTTGTCTTATTTCTTCCCTAGTACTAAGGGATGGGGCCAGTGGTTGGAGCTGGGAGTCAGGACTCCTGGGTTCTGTCCCTGGCTCTGGGGTCCACTGGTTGAAGCGGGAGGGCTGGGAATCAGGACGCCTGGGTTCTGTCCCTGACTCTGATAGGGGAGCGGGGTCCTGCCTTAATTGCCTAGCAAACTCCCACTGGTCTTGTCCTGTAACAACCCCCCCTCTTGGCAAAGGCCTGGAAATAATGCTAGAAAATGAATCCCAGAGGGAATCCAGACAGTGTCAGACCCACAAGCGTGTGAGGGAGGGGGGATTTGAACCCTCACCCGTCAGCAGCCAAGGCGCAGCCTGAGTGAGGGTTGCTGCCTGGCCAGCTTTGCCCAGCCCTTTTTGAAGGTAGCTGTGCTGGGAAATTTGTACGGTGCCCAGTGTCAGCTCAGAACCGCCCCAGATATCCTGGGGTTTTGCACCTCACAGGAGGCGTCTCTCGCAGAGCTGTGGGTCAGCAGCAGGCGTTACCCTGGCTGGGGGCTGGGAAGCCAGGGTATTACACAGGCAGACTCCCCACAGCGGCTTCTGCCTCACCGTTACCGTGTCCCCCCGCCCCAGGGTGCTCTGACTGGGGCTGACGCCCCCTGCTGGAGAAAAGCAGCTCTCCCAGTGGTTGGGATGTCGCCCTCTGGTGGCGGGGAGCCTGTATAGAGGGTGGACGCTCTAGAGCCGTGGTTTTCCTTTTTTCATTTGCGGGCCCCTCAAATATTTCGAATGGAGGTGCAGACCCCTTTGGAAATCTTAGACACAGGGTCTGCGGACCCCAGGTTGAAAACCACTGCTCTAAAGGGATCAGATGCCCGAGGGGTGGGAAAACCAAAGACCCTCTGTGCCCCACGCATTTGACCACAGTGTCTGGCCCCTGCTAGTCCCCCAGGTGCAGACACCAGGATATACCATTATGGCTGGCGAAGGGAGTGGCACGTCCTGGGGTTTGGCCGGGAGAGGCCCTGGCTGTCCCTGTCTGAGATCAGGACACATTGGGAGCGTCATGGCTGGCCTTGGACTTTGCTCCCGGGATAGGCTGGTGAGATGCAGCAGGTGGGTGGGGCTGCCTGGGACTGACAGACACAGGGGACCCAGCCCTGCCCAGAACGCCCATGGAGAAAGCACTAAAGGCTGCTGGAGACCCAGCGGTGGCCCTGTTTGGGCGGACAGTGGGGTTTGAACCTGCAACCCCCTGTGCTGAACATCCCTGCGGCAGAACTGAAGAGCCAAGCCCCAGAGTTGGCTGCTAGAGCTGACCCAGAAACAGTGCAGCAGCCACACGTGAGGGGCAAAGACCCTCTTCCCCTAGTATGGGCCACGCCAACCCCCCCTCCAGTGTCTGCCCTGTGGAAACCCAGAGTCAGGGCAGCCCTGGGATGCCTGGCCCAAGTGGGGGCTGTTGGGGATGCTGGGTCGGCAGCGGGGAGAAGGTAGGGATCTGTCTGTACCCAGACCAGTGGCTACATGGCTGCTTCTTCTTGGAACCAAGGACCGGGGGGCTCGAGTCTGGTAAGAACCAGCCCCAGACCTGCCCCAAACCCTGGGCCCCTGTGGAGGGTCATTCACACAAGCAGGAGTCGTGACCCATGGAGGCGGGCTGGAGGGCAGGGTTTTTTTCATAGATTCATAGATTCTAGGACTGGAAGGGACCTCGAGAGGTCATCGAGTCCAGTCCCCTGCCCGCATGGCAGGACCAAATACTGTCTAGACCATCCCTGATAGACATTTATCCATGACACGAGCACCATGCGCACAGCAAAGAAACTCCTGTCTCCTCTTGCCCTGTGGCACTCCGAGAGTGGCATCTCCGCCGGGGATCCCAAAGCACTTTGCAAAGGTTAAGGGCACCCCAGGGAGTCAAATGGGGATTAACTGGCCAGGAATCATAGAGGCTGGGAAAGGAGATGGGTTCTAACCGTCAGAGGAGGGAGGGCCTGGGACAGCCTCCTCATAGCAGCAGCAGGCAAACTCCTAATCTAGCCTGGAGTTGGCTCTTGGTCAGTCTCCAACCTGGACTCTATGACATGGCTCCTCGGAGTCCCAATGGCTGGATCTCCTGAGGGCCGTCAGCGTCTTGGGGAATTTCACCAGGTCAGGGTCATTATCCCTGTTGTACAGCCGGAGATACCGAGGCACAGAGAGGGCAAGTGGTTTGCTGTGGTCCCACAGCATCTGAGTACCAGCGCTGGGATTAGCCTCTGGACTGTCCTGACTGCCAGGGAGGTGATCTACCCACAGGCCCCGCTGCCCCATGCTTCAGCAAGGAGTGGCAGAAAGCGCTTGGGTGAAAAGGGATCAACTAGAGTTGGGCAAAGTGTGTCCCTGCCAGCAGAGCAGAAGGGGTCCCGGTGAGCGCGCCCCAGGTCAGAACCCGCCAGCAAAGCCAGCCAGCTGCTGGCCCCGTGTCGATGGGCTTTGCTGCAACGTTTAACCTATGTACAGCCCCAGATACTACAGACAGACAGACAGACAGAAGGGTGCGTATGGGGATGGAGAGATTGATAGGTGTATATAAGGATGAATGAAAGATAGATGGATGGATGGGTGTGTATGGAGGTGGATGGACAGATGTGGATGGGGTGGATGAGTGGATAGATAGATGCGCAAGGAAATAGATGGTCGGATGGATGTATGGGTAGATAGATGTGCATGGAGATGGATGGATGTGTTTGTGTAGGGATGGATGCATAGATAGATGTGTAAGGAGTTGGATGGATGGATGGACGGGTATGTGTGGGGATGGATGAATAGATAGATATATAAGGGGATGGATGGACAGGTACATAAGGGGATGGGTGGATGGATAGATAGATGTGTATGGTGATGGATGGATGGATGTATATGGAGATGGATGGACAGATAGATGCATAAGGACGTGGATGGACAGGTACATGTGGGGATGGATGGATGGATGCACAGAGGTGTATGGAGATGGATGGGTGTA